CTTAGGGAGATAGCACAGTTCACTAGAGTGTCCACAGTATTTGACACCGCTGTTCTACAACATGGATAGCTACATGGAGAAAGCTGTGTGGAGGCATTACGGACTGCTCTCCATGTCTGCCAGCCATTCAGGGGAGGGGAGGGCACTTTTAATATAGTGACTTCGTGCACCATTTTGCCTGGTGGACTGGACTGTGTCAGCACTGATGTATTCCACTTTTTATGCTTTCTCTTGTGATGTCATCAGACGTAGTGAACACCTTTACGCACCCTCATTACTTTTTTCATTTGTGGGGCACACTTCCGTTTTAAAATGAAATCCAGCTCATTTTTACAGTGGATTGCAGCATTTCTCTTCTATGGCCTCCTGACTTCTCCCTCCAGGATCCCTTCCTCCTGCTCTCCCCACCTGGTCTTGGTGGTATATTTTATAAAAAGGGAATAAAAGCCATCAAAATGGGCCCATTCGAAGTCAGTGGTAACAGGTGTATGTGTTGTGAACAAGTATTTTAATAACAGTCGGCTGTAATCACCTCCTGCCATGTCTGGAACTGAAAACCAGGGGGGAAGCTACTACTGAATAAAAGTGACAAAAGATGGGGGCAAAAAAAAAAAAAAAAAAAAAAAAAAAAAACAAGAGTAATAACAGGAAGTCATAGTTATTACCTACTTCTGAATCCCCGAGGCTCCCTAGATTCATCTTACTTTGGAGGTTTTGATTTTATTCCCCTTCTTTTCTGGTAAATTCCTGATTGTTCTTCCACACTCATTAGTCTACCACATATGGTGTTTACCTTACCCACTGAAGCTTGTGTCTGTCCCCTACAATGCTCGTAAGGTCCTTGTCCCCAGTTCAGGTTCCAAAGCAGGACATTTACCGGGTTTTGTTGTTTTTGATACAGGGTTTCTCCGTAGTTTTGGTGCCTGTCCTAGAAACTTGCTTTGTAGACCAGGCTGGCCTTGAACTCATAGAGATCTGCCTGCCTCTGCCTCCCAAATGCTGGGATTAAACACATGTACCACCACTGCCAGGCTTAGGTATTTTCAATAACATTTAACATAAATATTAGTAAAACTTGGTTGACAGGATCTACAACTAGGAACATTCATTAGAGGGACCAAGCCTGGAATAAAGTAGCTCATATGACATCTGTGCTCTTTACAAATGACACCAACAGCCAGGCATGGTGGTGCACGCCTTTAATCCCAGTACTCAGGAGGCAGAGGCAGGCGGATCTCTGAGTTCAAGGTCAGCCTGGTCTACAGAGTGAGTTCCAGGACAGGCTATAGCTATGTATAAATTGAGTCCCTGTCTACAAAAAAGTTAACCATTAACCTTTTTTTTTTTTTTTTCTTAGCTGAGGATCGAACCCAGGGCCTTGTGCTTGCTAGGCAAGCGCTCTACCACTGAGCTAAATCCCCAACCCAACCACTAACTAAAGAAGTGGCCTACTCTTCTGGCACAGAGTTCAGGGCTATGTAGAGAGACCCTGCCTCAAAAGACCAATCTGGCTGCTTGGCACTGTTGACGCACAGTGCACTGTCCACCACCGTGGACACACCAGTATGGTAGCTTTTTTTGGTGGGGAGGGTTGGTTTTTTGAGGCAGGGTTTCTCTGTGTAGCCCTGGCTGTCCCAGAACTCACAATGTAGATCAGCCTGGCCTCGAACTCACAGAGATCTGCCTGCCTCTCTCTGCCTCCAGTGCCCTGGACCACAGTAGCTTTTATTTAGTCCTTTTGTTTTAGCCAGGTGCCAGAACCTAAATTCCAGGATAAATCATAATTGTATTTGGCTGTGTTTGTCTCCTAGTCCATTTTTGGAGAATTGTTTTAATATATTTAGAAACTGCCAAGTTTACTCTTTAAAAAATGGAAATAATTCTTTTAAGGGAAGGATAATAAAATTATAGTACAAAAGACTTAATGAGACCAGAACCATTACTATGGAGAACAGGGACATCTGTTTCTGTTCCTTTCTGCAGCTACCAGGGTTAGGTATCTGCAAAATTTTTTTTGTTTTGTTTTGTTTTTGTTTTTGTTTTTGTTTTTGTTTTTGTTTTTCGAGACAGGGTTTCTCTTGTGTAGCTTTGGTGCCTTTCCTGGAACTCACTTGGTAGCCCAGGCTGGCCTCGAACTCACAGAGATCTGCCTGGCTCTGCCTCCCGAGTGCTGGGAATAAAGGCGTGCGCCACCACCGCCCGGCTGCTATCTGCAAAATTTAATGTGCATCCCCATCCTACTTCACATCCCTTACATCATAGAAAACCCAAGTCTTCAATGGGATTTAGACTTTAAGTGTTTGGTGTGTTTCCCAGGGGAAAAGTGGGTGAAAAGAAAATTCAACGTTCTAAAGCTGAAAAAGAAAAAAAATGAATACTGTGATGTAAAGAACTTCAAGTAAGATTGAACTGAATGAATGTTATAAAACTTGTAACACATTGGAAGAAAAGCATAAAAGATACTTATGGACTTAGATGCTGTTTTCATGAGTTTTCCTCACCCCCATGTCTTTGTTTTGCCCTATAATACACAGTAGTAATTTATATGTCAGTGAGGACAATGATTAATGATAAAACATCAGATTTTTTTCATGTTTAGTATGAAAATTGACAGATACCTAGCACCAATAGACAAAAAACCAAATTCAGTATTTTAAGAAAAGTGCACACTATTATTTTATTTAGTCCGGTACATGGCTGACAAAGCATGCTGCTTAAAGAATTAGTTATTTATTGTCTTCTTCTGACTAGTAAATCAGACTATTAATTCCATCTACTCACTGATGGTACTAAAAATGGTTCAAAGATAGCAAATAAGTCAGACAAGCCATCAAGAGGATGGATCTTTTTTTATGGTACCGGCTGGGAAACCAATGTCATGCACTAGCCGAAAAGACTCAAAAATGTGGGTTTCCATGATATTTTCCATATCTGAAAACTATCTGGTCCAGTTTTTTTTAAATAAAAATTCTAATATTTCCAGGAAATATGGGTAGAAAAGGGTAACACTAAAGAATGGGATCCCAACACTCAACTTTAAAGAATTTATTTTCTCATTTGTAGAGTAGCATTATTGTAAAGTCCACAGTTATTGCAACACCTGCATTGCTTAAAAGAATTCCTAAGAATTTTGTTAAAGCATATTTTTAAAAAACAGAACCAAAATAATATACATTTTTATCTCTAAACATTGTGTCATTAAAGTCCATGTAATGTCTTCTGTATAAATCAATGTGATGTTACAATAATATACATGATCGGATTCTTATCTTAAAGGCTTCTGACCATGTATGATATCCAAGATAGATTCAATGCCTTTAATGCCAGACTGCAGAAACTGTTATGACCCTAAACAAAACAAGGGAAAGCTGTATGTACAGGCAGGAGTCTGACAGTTTAACTGTTTGCAGCATCTGCTTGGCGAGGCCATCCATCCTCCTCAACTCCAGAGTCATACTCCTCTTCAGAGGACTCTTTCGATGGAGCCCTGTAATGAAAAGTCATGTTTGTTTTTCAACAAAATTGGAAGTGAATATGATTTCTAGACTCAGAACAGTAAACTAATCTTCATAGCTAAATAGCCCCTCAAAATAGAAAAGAAGAAGAGTATTTTTAATATTAGGATTGCTTAGTGGTGAAATATGGGAATTAAGTCATAAAGGAGTTCATCAATTTCCCTAATAAAGCTACTGCTGAAATGCACGGCAATTTATGAACCAAATCCAGACCATTGTCTGCTTTGTAAACAAAGATCTACTGGGATACTGACACACTCGTTCACTCATGTGTTGTGTATGGCTGCATCTGTGCTGGGGGCAGTTTTGAGCGGTTGCAGTATTGAAAGCAGGGCTCTGAAGAACTTATATGAGAAAGTCTGCTGATTCCTAGAATAGATAAAACAGAACTGTCAAATCTGCCAACTGGTATGACACTGAGGGAAAATAAACTTTGTAAACAAAGATTTGGTCTTATGCAAGTCATTAAAAAGAGCTGAATGTACTGGTACACACCAGTAATCCCAGCACTCAGGAGTTCAAGGCTATTTCCTAGCTCAGTGACTTCAAGGCCAGTCTATGTCCAAAAAATAAACACATGGGGCAAGCCATGAAAAAAAGTCATTCATCAATTAGTGAAATATATATATATTTTGGTTTTTTGCGACAGGGTTTCTCTGTGTAGCTTTGCGCCTTTCCTGGAGCTCACTT